CTTTATTTGAAATGAACTTTTTTCTTAACCTTTTTTAAAGTTATTATATTGGGGTATTTGTCGCTATTTTAGCTTTAATATTGGGGTATTTGTCGCTATTTTAGCCGTCTTTTTGACCAGCTTTTTGTATTTTTTTGGCTAACCTTTAGTTATTTTTTCTCCCAGTTTTAGCTTTTTTCATATTTGTCCTCAGTACATCTTAGGCTATTTTGGTCATTTTAAAATATTGCAGCTGATGTTGATGTTCTTGATTAAGATAATGATTTCTCTTTCAAGACATTGGCTAACTTTTAGACTCGTAGAGGTATGTGTGTGTCAGAGTGCAGCCGCAATCTGTGTCCACAGAAGGTGGTATTTTAGACTGACAGTGAGTGAGTGTGTGTGTGTGTGTGTGTGTGTGTGTGCACCCTTTCGTGGTCTGAGTTTGTGGACCTGTCATGCGGGCGGATGTATGTGAGATTAACAGAGCTTGAAGTGCAGACCTTAGTCACAGCTGCACAACCACCTCACCAACTTCCTGTCTCTCCTCTGAGGTCGTGAGACGCCGTGTCCTTCTGTTTGTGTGAAGAGAGTTTTAGGTTTTTTTAAAGGGTAACTCTGTCCTTATTTGGGTCCATTAACAGATGACAAAGTGAGGATATGAATAATAATCAGCATACACTACAGGACACATGCATCATTTAATACTGAACATCTAGGTGTAAAGGATAAATGTAAGCTCTTTTTTTTATCCTCTTGTGGTGACAAACAGATATTTGATGTGAACCCTGACGACTCTTTCCTCTTAGAGACAATGACTGTGTTGACTTTCTGTTGACTTGATTTTGTTGTGTTTCTTTGCTCATTTCATCCTCCACAGTGATTCAATTTTAGTCTGGCACAAAATACTCAAACCCCTCAATAAAACTACGGTCTTTATTATGCTGTATTGTAAAACAGAAAGGTGTCCATTTTGTGGCAAAAACATATGAATTACTCTAATATTTTTTATATTTGGTCTTCACAATTAATGGCTATAAAACTGATGTTGCGCAACACTATTCTTTTGTATTGTGCGGTGTGAGGTGTACTGAACGGCTGCGTCCAACCTAGGACGATGTTAGTCCAGCGATGCTTCCCTTATTTTCAGTGGATAAATCTTTCTTACATCTGGAAAAGTGAGAATTCTTCCAATACATCATGCTCATTTGTTCAGTTCAGTTACGTTTAGATCCTTCATTTATCGTGTTTCCTGCATGCTGAGGGCGTGTAATCCACTTCTGGCAAAGATGCAGTACAGCTGGCTTTGGTCTGGCCCACACGAAATGAATGCGACTCTTCAGTGGCCCAAATATTTTCAAACAAATGTTGGCCCTTCCTGCCAAACACACTGTGCTCTTGGCAACGTGCAAACTGGACGGGACG